AAGTTAACCAAATTGCATCATATCGCATATCATTCGATTCGGCTGATCACCAGGAACACAATAATACCATTTTTTAAGCTCTAGCGTCATTATGTGCCAAGTTATTGGCAAAAACGTCATTTGACCTCAGTTGACCTCATTTGACCTGACCCATGGATAAGTACACCAAACAAAGAAGCACCAAGTGACCTGCTGTTAAGTACCGTGGTTTCAAAGCACAAAAGTGATAGAACGAAGCGGATATCTCCAGTATTTTCCGAATTTAGTATTTTCCCATAGGCTTAACATTACGACGTAATGACCTCTAACTGACCTCAGGTCAGTGACCTCAAAAAAGCCGGACTAGATGTTATACAACTCGGTGAACTTAGCACATCCTGAAAGTTTGAAGGAAATCAGTCAACAAATGTGAGTTGGACAGGTGCAAAAAGAAAATTGAAATTTGACCATGACCTTGTACCGGTTTTTCTGACCTGGTGACCTGACCCAAGGTCACCCGGACCTGAAATTTTCAGGTCATATGTAAAAAGGTTGCCCCATAGGCTGTGCCAAATTTGGTGGCGCTGCGCGCCGCCGTTTTTACGCTATCTTCAAAAAACCTTAGGGGGGGTCGCATCGACCCCCCCCCCCCCTGCCAGGGCGAGGGTTAAGGCATTTAATTATACTGTTAGCAGTTTTTATGGCAACACCGAGCTGTTTGGGAACGCTTCGGACGCTGTGGCCAGCCTGCATCGGCGCCGCAATTTGGGTTCTTTTTGCAATCTCCGCCATAGCTCATCAACAACCATGACGAAATAAAACACAATCATAAAAATTATACACGAGTCAGTTGGGAAGCCGCATGCAAAATTTCACTAAAATCCGTCCAAAACTTTTTGAGTTATGGGCTGAAAACAAACAGGTAAATCTTTCTGCCCCACCCTGTATTTTTATTGTTTATTATCTAAACGGCTTTGCATGTAATTTCACGCATAAGATACCTATTAATGTCAATGCTAACAAGAAAATGGTGGGGCTATGTATTGCACACATAAACCGAATAAAAAACATTATGTAAATATCTAACTTCAGATTCCTCGATGTTCCAATCCCTGCATGTCTAGAGATTAGCTCGACTTCGGCCTTCCATTCCTATCAGTGGACTTTGGGTCAGTGAAGATCCCGCGCTGCCGCCAGCGCGGCGCCGTCCGAGGGTTTTCGGATGAGGCCCGACCACCTTAGACTAACAGGACCGTATGACGTGACCCTGGTCCCAAGGCGACCGAGAGCGGCTGGTTGTGCCCGTGACCTTTTGCTGGTCCAGCTTTATGGTGAACATGAGCTGCTGCGCGTCCGGCTGTTCGTTCCTTGTCACTGAGTCAAGTGAAGCAGGCACAGAGAACCTTTTAGGAACGCTTCTGGTGTCTATCGGAACGAAATGAATCATTCGACTAGCTAATTGAATATTTTGGACTAGCTTTATTCTTCGCTGTTATAATCTGGTCCATGAAACCAAAGACCGAGCAGCGGCCGTTCGGTCGGCACACGAGATGGCTGGATACTGTGCCGTCAGGCACCGCTGCCGTGCGGCACAGCCTACCAATCGCGCACCGGTTCCAGAGGCTCTGCGGGGAACCGGCACGAGCACGCTGCATTCACTCCGAATCCGGCCTTAGTAACACGGTGCTTACTGCTAATACGCAGAGCTACCGCGCAGCCTGTCTGGTGACCAAACGCCATCAACCTACTGTTGTATTAATGTGCAAAATGGTTTAAATGAGCGTCAGGCATTTGCTGCTGCAAATGCCTATGTAAAAAGTCGTCCACATGTTTCGCATGTAGTCTGTAGAGCGTGCGGCATGTCCTAAGGAGTTTTATTTGAAGAACGAATATTAGAATAAATATCTGTCCGAAGTGTTAGTGTTCGCCGTTCGGTGATGCATACGTCCACTCTTCAACTTGTCGCCTTTTGAGTGCTGCTGCATTGTATGACCGTTCAGTTTGTGCAGAGCGAAGGCAGCGCGATATTTCCCTCGTGCTCGGCGCCTCCGACGTCATCCATTAGCTTCTTACAGCGGACAGAGCGGACGTTGATGGACTGGTTCGAGCTTCTAAATCGGTGGCTAGTGCTCAAATGCTGTTTTTAGGTTAGCCCCTGACAACCGATGTTACAATAGGACAACAAATGTTAGGGCCAGTTGTCGGACCCATTAGATGAAATGTAAAACTGCCTGACAGTTCACATTAGACATCATTGAAAACTGAAAGAAATGTGCTGCAAATGATTGAAGCAAAACACCGGAGCATTTGTCAGAATTCCCATCTGTATATGGATATATGCTATAGGTACAAGATATTTTTCCATATTTTGATAATCATAGACTTATTTGTACGTCGAGACATGCAAAAGTAAATGTCACAATCTACTGGTATAAATGTGCAGCTTGTGTAGCAAAAAAAAAGATGTTTGAAATGAAAAAAGTTTCAAAGCATGTGCAGTGCACTCTGTTGTTACGGTACAATTCCTAAATGCATTTGATTTGCTCATGCATTTGCCAATTTGTAATCAATAATGACACGTTACTTTCCCCCAGAAGCATATTTTTACCAACCATAATTACATAATTTCTTCACCATTAACATCAGCCCCTTAGAGCAAGGCCCATTACGTTCACGGCTTCCGGTGGATGCCTCGTCAATCATAATATGCACATCATTGGAGCCTATGGGGGAAGGCATACATCACCCATCATAATATGGAGCAGACTAAAGTGTCGCGTCTCCCGCTTTATTGACAGCTATTTGCCTGTTATTATATAATATGTGCGGTTTACGTACATGTGAATTGCTAAAATTACCAGATAATTGCACCTTGCTACGTGACGAGCTATTGCCACCTAAACTGAACAGGTATGGCCGAGCTCTTTTTAGGACACAGACAATTTATCAAATGATTGAACTCATAGGCGGCGGAACGGGGAGGGCACCGGGGCACCGTGCCCCCCCCCCCCTTTGATTTTGGCATTTTAACATTAGCCCTATATGGGCGTTGCATGGAAAGAATGGGACCAAAAGCCGGCAGTGCCCCCCTTAATTGAAGGTGTTCCGCCGCTACTGATTAAACTGACAGCATGACGTCAAGATTAAGACTGCGCCTCAAACTACCCAAAACACTTCCTTGGGTTAAATTAAAGTTTGAGTGATTTTTTAAAGTGTAATAAGAAAATAAAATATTGAACTGCACAACAAGCCTGCCTCGAGCCAACCTATAAAATCAGGCAACGTTTTTTTGCAATTTTCGTGGCACTGAGTGTTACATGCAGCTTATTGTGTTGAGCCTGATGCTTATGAGCACAGTTGGAGGTTGGCTTCTTGTTTGTTTTTCCCCGCCCAGGTGATCGATTTAACGCCTGACCGTGTTGTGCATGTCTGGATTCGTACTGTAATAAAATCAGATAAGCAAACTGAGAAGAGCATTGTTCACTAAGTAACTTCCCTTCTAGCATTCAGCTTCTACCATGCCTACTAAATTATACATATATAATTATATACCTTTTCTATGTTTCTTCGCTTTCAACCTGGCGCGGAAATATCTGCACGATTATCAGACACATTTTCCACATATGTAACTATGATATAAAATTGAGCCGATCTATGATTTAATTTGGCTCATAAAATCAAGTCAACTTTACTTATAACAGAGCAATTTCGTTTGCATAGCTCGCACGCTCTGATCGCCTCCTTAATCGAAGCAGTTTAACTTGCTCTTAACCCTCGCCCCGTTGGGGGGGGGCCATTTTGGCCCCCCCTGTGGTTTTTCCTAAATAGCAAGAAAACGGCGGCGCGCAGCGCCGCCAAATTTTCAGTACCTTCCCGGGCATCAATTTGACACCTTCACACAAAATTTCAAGTCTTAGGTCACCTTAGGTCAGGAGTTATTGAGGTCAAACTGAGGTCATGTTCGAGCAAAAATGAGCAAAACACATGCAATCTTGAAACGCTCACCAAATCTACAGTTATCAAGCAATTTCAAAGTTCTTTATATGGTCTAGTAGACAAAAAGCGGCGCTACAAAACTGCTATCTCGGATTTTCAAAATTTTGGGTTTTTGACCAAAAAAATTTCTAAAAACTGATTTTTTAGAAAAACTAAAAAATATCCAAAATTTTTCCGAATTTCGAAAAAAACCGGAATATATGTGATAGTCCCTGCGCTCTTTTATATACATACCAAATTTCAGATCGATATCTTGTTTTTTGGCCAAGTTATAGCGAAAAAACTGTTCAAAAATGATGACGTCAAATTTTTGAACTCAATTTTTAGCGATTCTAGACCTCGTACGGCAAAACAAAGACCACCATTGAACTCCCCGTGACGAGCTGCATTGATTCGATACCCATTTTATGCAAAAATATCAACTTTGAAATTTGACCTAATTTGACCTGACCTTGACCTGACCTTGACCAAAACGTGACCTAAGCTGGCCCCAAAGGCTGCCTGACCCACATAATCGCATTTGTCATGTAAAATGGACCATAAAACATGCATCACACGACACTTTGATATTGTGACCCCCCAGTGACCTGACCTCTGTGACCTGACCTGGTATCAGTGACCTCAACTAGCAAAATATGTGTTTGAAGAACATTTCCCCATCGATGATTTTCAATGAAATGCATTTTACTCGATTTTACAGCGCATTTCTTGAAATGCCTGTAAACGGTGAAAATTGGACCTTTGACCTGACCTGTGACGTCATCGGTTTGACCTAGGTCAATAAAATTGGGTCACAAGGTAGTTCCCTGATAGGGCTATCCAACACCGTTTGCCGCTTGTCGCTACGTTGCGTGGTTCTCGAGATCTTAGGGGGGGGCCAAAATGCCCCCCCCCCCCAACGGGGCGCGTTGCTCGGCAGAGCCCAACGGGGCGCGGGTTAATCAACTGACAGGTCTAGTTCATCTCAAGTAGGTACTGAACTGCAGCCTCACACAAAACTTAGTTCGGGTGTGACAAGAATCTCCTTTTCCAGTCGATGATCATACATTTATTACATCACATGACCTCAAAAACAAACAAACACTCAACAAAGTCACCAGTGCAGCCGGCCTTGGCCTCTTTTGAGGACGACCTTGATCTCCTCAGAAGACGACCTTGACCTTTCACAGGACGACCTTGACCTCGACGGCCAGACTCTCGATGGCGCACTCGTCGTTGCCGCGCTGGATCTTGAAGTAGCCGCCGCGGCCCCACTCGGTGCCCCAAGAGTTCTTGACGTTCCAGTACTTGACGCCGTCCTCCACACCATACCCGGTGATAAGCACCGCGTGGTTGGTGAGTTCAAACGGATCGAACTCGCCACTCTTCAGGTGGTCCAGCGCAAAGTCGTGGTGGTAAATGCCGTCCTGGTAAAGCGTGAAATCGTCATACACCTCGAAGCCGATGACCAGGGGCCCGTTGTTCACCAGGGACTCCATCATCAGAGCCTCGTTACAGGCGCCGTAGTAGCCTCCGACGTACTGGTAGGTGGCGGTGTAGGTGCGGCCGCAGCTCGAGTCCGTGCCACAGGTGGCAGTGTCCACACCCTGGTACGCGTTGCAAGGCTCAGCGACCACGCCAAAGTCCTTGGCGTACTTGCCGGCGATCAGGTAGGGGAAGCCTCCGTCGCAGCCCTGGCTGTACTCGCTGCAGCTGACGATGTCCTGCGGCGAGAAGACGGGCTGCTCGGTGTTGTTGGTCAGAATACGCACTTGAGACTCGAGGGCGGCCATCGACGCGAAGGCATAGCACGAGCCGCAGTTGGCCTGGTCGCGGACAGGAGGCACGAAGCTGACGCCGTTGATGTCAGTCCAGTCGAAACTCGCCGGCAGCGACTTGATGATGTCCAGATGCGCCTCAGTCATCGGAGCCGGCTTGGGCCGCTGCGGGAGGTGCGACCTGGCTCCGCCGCTGCGCCGGTGCATCTCCGCCACTGTGTACTTCTCGTGCTGGGGGTACGCCTTCGCCTTGAACGTGCTCTCCTTGCGCGCGTTGATGGCAGCGATCAGTGCGTGGTTGTTGGCGTACTTCTTGGCACCCTTGACAGCATCTGCCAGCTTGACGCGGTGCGTTTTGGGCAGGCTCGGTCCCTGCTTCTGCCCGCGGATGCAGGCCCAGTTGCGAACAGTGACGTCATGAGACCATCCCGGGAACGTGCGGTCGCACAGACTGGTCACCTCCTCGCCGTCCTGCGTGTAGTAGGAGAAGGCGAAGTAGGTCCGACCGTTGACGGTCGCCTCGAAGCCCTGGTTGTAGATCAGAGTCCAGGTGCCGACGTTACCAAACGTGTCCACCACGGTGTTGGGGGCCTGCAGGGAGAGCGCGATGACGTTGTCCATCGGCGTGGCGTCGTCACACTGGATGGTGCTGTCGCCGGTTGGGTCGGACGAGTAGAACAGCCATTCGCCCTGGATGTCGGAGAAGCTGCAGTTGGCGGGGGTGTCGGCCCGCACGGCCGCAGCCAGTAGCAGTGAGAGCACCGCCGCGCGCAGCATCCTGACAGGTGGGAGGTGACCTGAAGTCCCACGGACGGCCACCGACAGTGTGACGAAGCATCGTCCGCGCCCTCCTTTATAAGTTCATGTTATCATGCTCTTCAGATAGATTGTGGCCAGTCCGAGTCATATGACCGCGATCTGGCATCAATATCAGACGTCACGAGCGAAATCTGGCAAAAGCACGTGATGTCTTGACTCTTGAAAGAAGCAAGCTATGCCTATAATAGCTAAGCTGTTGAATATAAGAGCAGGAGAACCTAGCATGGCGTTATGCAGGAAGTCAGCTGCAGGTTACACTGTTAAATATACTTATATAGGTTTATGCGACTTCAAGACTTGCCAATATTGTTTGTGATAAGTGCTAACGATGCAATTAGTTCGTCTTGGACCTTAACTCACAATCTTTTTCATGGGCTAGTCACCAATTCTTTCAGGTCATGGTCTTACATAAAGCTCCTTATACTGTGACTGGTAAGATCTCTGATTATCTAACACTTGTGATGATCCGCGGACATTGTGTTTCGTACCTACACTAACAAAGCAGTCACCGAGCGCACCTTAAATCCCCTGTGTCCGATATCAGGTAAAGTGGCTGACCGTGACCATATCGACAAGTACCGCCCCATGACGCATGATCTCGTCTGGTTTGACCAGGCGTGGTGTGCCGAGAGGGCAAAGGTTGATGCTTGTCGACAAGGCTACTCGAGTGTTGGTTCTGATATATTTCGTTAGGCCATGACGAGTGTTTCATTGAATGCTTTCGGTGGGAAGTGTGTGAGCTTTGGAAGGGAAGGATGTATGCTGGAGCCGTGCAGCTTTCCTCGAAATCGCTGCTCGGTTGGCAAACAATAGACGATATTTGAACAGTTTATATTTTACAGGTAATCATTTGGTTTTATTTGCCTTTTTGACCTTATTCAGCGAGTTTCTACGAAATAATGTTTTTTTTCGCTGTCTAATCCACTTTAATTTTCAATGAAATTTCCCTAAAGCTTAACACCTCCAATGTCCCGATAAACGCTATTATATACCATGACATTCCCAAAATACGAGCTAATTTAGTAGCAGCCTCACTCATCGCCTCTAACTCCGATAAAAACTTGAGCCGTTTTTTATCTAAAAAAAAAACTTTTGATAGTCCTTAGGTGTGATGCAATTCTCACCTCAACGGAATGCGCGTCTCCCGTCTGAGCTGGTCGGACGCAGCACACTGCACCGATGGTGGCGGCTGGTCACAGGATGCCCTTTCTGGAAAGGCTGCCGTCCACATTCGATCGCCGCCGATCACATTACCTATTCTAATCATGACTTGACCTTTGCGACAAAAAATGCACCAGCCTTTGTTGCACATCTCGATTCTTATTTCCAGCAAACTTGCATGTTTTGCAAGGCGATCACAAGGGCAACTCTGTTGAAATAAATTGAAATGTCATATTTATTCATGCTGGTTTAGTTAATCGAAACTTCAAATATCAATTGATATCACAAGGAAACTCAATCCTCAGTGAACCTTGAGCAGAGAACAATGAACACGTTCTGTAGGGCTTATCAGTGTTGATACTAAGAAATAGGTTGTCCCCTCGTCGACCATATACATACGCCACGATATCATACGAGTACACGCACTTACGCCACCACTCCCAGGTCAAGTTCCAACTGAACCGTGACTTCATCGATCAGCACGCCCTCGGATTTCGGAAATATGCTTCTCGAAAATAAATATGCTTCTCGGTCCGCCGCGGCCTAGTGCCCTCCAGCCGGCCCGAAATCCAGGCCGCCGCGCTGCCACAATCAGACGCTGTTGCCAGGCGGCGACCGTGCGGGCGTGTGGCAGTGACTCGAGTCGTCGTCCCCGCCGCTGTAACAAGCAGCCTTTGCAACGGAGAGAGCCGGTTCAACCCCGCCCCTGAACCTCCAACCCCGCCCCTCAGCCTCCGCCCCCGCCATAAAGCCGGGCGAGGCAGCTTTGTTCGCACCCGACAACAAGCTGAGGAAAACTTTCAGCTCCCACCTGACAAAGCAGAAGTTGTTTCTTTTTGTAAATATTCAAAGGATGTTGAGGATGAGCTGATTGGTGTGCGTTTTGTCAGTGTCAGTCAGAAAAGAATAATTTTTGGGTAAGAGGCTCTATTAAGCTGGTAGAAGGGGTGTGAACTTCTCTTACATTTTTTTTATAATGCAGTTTCAGTTGATTGCATTTTGTGTCTCATGCATCTACCGGAAGGAATGCAGCACACGAAGGCAGCGAAAATATGTGATTATCCATTTGCAAACTCCATAGTAGAAGTCCAGAACAGTTTGGGTGCTGCCGGTTTAGAACAGTCAAAGCATTCTCGGCATTCGTTATGTGAATTGTTGGGCAGGCACATGAAAGGCATTAGAATGTTTGTGACTCTGGATGGCGCTCCATTTATAATGATTCTAGCGCTACGCGCCTGACTGACTTTGCAAGAACTTGCAAGAAAACTTCACGCACATTACTTGCAGCACAACAGGCTTGCAGAGTGTGCCCTGTTTGCTTTTTAGGCACAGCCAACGTGTCACATTGGTTATGTTTTGTTTCAGAGACTGCCAAAGCGCGACTGCTCGGTGCTCTTTCTAAAAACCGGATGATGATGTGACGCCGTCATGGAGACATCACAAGCGTCAGAGTATGAAAGGTGAGTCGTTTTTAACGCATTTAAGTCATTTAACCCTCGCCCTGGCAGGGCATTTTTCATAACACGGCCTGGCAGGGTGGGGGTCGATGCGACCCCCCCTCGCGATTGGCTCCTATGGCACCTAGAAACACCAAATTTGGTAGGTAGGTGGGCCCCCTGGAGTTCTCGCCCCTGTGCAAATTTGGTTGCTCTAGGTCAATATTTAGGAGGGTTTTGGGGGGTATAAATGTAAAAATTTCGCTAAAAACAGACCAAAAGTTTTTCGCTTATAACTTTTGATCTAATAAAGATAGAGAAAAAAGAAAAGCACCAGTGAACTCAGCACGTCAAGGCGCGTCGAATGATATACTTTTTAGCTTGCTTAAGTGTACTTAAAGTTTTTCTTAAATTTTAAGTAAACTTAAATTAATAAATTAAGTTCAAGTTAACCAAACTGCATCATATCGCATATCATTCGATTCGGCTGATCACCAGGAACACAATGGTACCATTTTTTAAGCTCTAGCGTCATTATGTGCCAAGTTATTGGCAAAAACGTCATTTGACCTCAGTTGACCTCATTTGACCTGACCCATGGATAAGTACACCAAACAACGAAGCACCAAGTGACCTGCTGTTAAGTACCGTGGTTTCAAAGCACAAAAGTGATAGAACGAAGCGGATATCTCCAGTATTTTCCGAATTTAGTATTTTCCCATAGGCTTAACATTACGACGTAATGACCTCTAACTGACCTCAGGTCAGTGACCTCAAAAAAGCCGTAATATATGTTATACAACTCGGTGAACTTAGCACATCCTGAAAGTTTGAAAGAAATCAGTCGAAAACTGTGAGTTGGACAGGTGCAAAAAGAAAATTGAAATTTGACCATGACCTTGTACCGGTTTTTCTGACCTGGTGACCTGACCCAAGGTCACCCGGACCTGAAATTTTCAGGTCATATGTAAAAAGGTTGCCCCATAGGCTGTGCCAAATTTGGCGGCGCTGCGCGCCGCCGTTTTTACGCTATCTTCGAAAAACCTTAGGGGGGGGGGTCGCATCGACCCCCCCTGCCAGGGCGAGGGTTAAAACAGCTGGATATGATAAGAATGAATCGTTGATGTAAACAGATCCTAATTTAACCAGGCGCTCATAGAGTCAAATGCTATGTAACATGTGTGCAAGAACATAGTTGTGCAGATATGCATGTTGCAAAAGGGTGGTGATGTGCAAGCCGTAGGATTAATAGAGGGCTGTCTATTGTTTCTGCACCCAAGGATGCTCAAGTCAAGTACAGATGCTGGTCCCTTCGCTATTTTCTTGTGTCATATCATCCAATACATCTAAAGGAAGTCATCCAGCCCATGAGAGCGCTGCACACGTCCTTCAATTGTTTCGCAGCATATTATAGCGTCACCAGTGCGACAAACGACACGTTATTAGAAAATAATACCAACTCTTGCTCGTCATCGCACTGCGTGCTGCGACACAGGACTGATCCACAGAAGAATTTTCTGTCATCCGCTTTCTCTCGGCTCAGTGCGTCCGAAGCTATGCTACCTATGCCCGGAACGTGACCCCTCGGGCGTCGGTATTGACCTGATATGTGGGGACTCTGCTGGAACATTCCAGTCGCCTCACGGGACTTCACCGATGTCGATGTGAGATGATTGTCATTTGTCACCATACCTACCGAATATTATGCACTATAGACTATAGACAATAGACAATTTATTCAGGACATTCCACGTGCACATGTGGCTATTACTGCCCGTCGTCAATAAAACAGATGGTGATAAAAAAACGGTAAAATATGATGAAAGGGAAACACACGTGCAGATAAGCAGTCATGCTGGCTAGACAGTGTTTTGCTCCTCGACACTGTGGAGTGACACTTGGGAAATTATATGCATCCTAAATTTTTACTCTCTTTTCCTTTTCCTTTGACATGTTGCAATAGATCCTAATGTTTATTTCCATCGTCACATTTCCACAAACTATGGTGTTAAAACCTAAGCGCTTAATGCGATATGGCTTCTCCCCCTTCTACGAATAATTCTCAATTGTTCTCTGCATACACAACACCGATTGCCGATGCCCGATCCTCACGTACTTACACCTTCCGATCACCGCTCCTTTCAATCGACCCAGCGGCTGTGGGGGCCGAATGCAGACCGTCTCATTTCCGACTCCAGTGCGACAATAAAGGTTCAGTTACGAGCAGCTCCGGCAGCGGCAGCCGATTTTGTTGCGTCATGAGACCACAGGGCCACCTTGGGAACCTGTTTCCCAAGGCAAAGTGTTCCCTCCCTGACGTCATAGCTATTGTGCCGAATTCAGTCGTAGATTAGCAAAGGGATGTGTAATTGTTGAAGCATATCAGTTTATGACTAAGTCTGCTTTCTTACTCTGATTCATTTTAGAAGAAATATAGTTATAACGAAATAATATCACCTAAGCTTTTTTTAAAGTCATGGGAAAACTCATTTATAATTCCAGAATAAACCTGCAAAATTCAGCACATAACATATAGACCCTTACACTGGGAAAGACCATTATCCTTCTGCTCTGGTATATAGATGGCTTTAATTAGTCAAACCCGTGGGCTGTTAGTCTAAGGCATAAATTACCCAGTTATTCTCATCGTGACGTCACAGCGCGCGCCGTCCGCCCGTTTTAGCGCCGGACGGAAATGGCTTCGAGCGCAGGCTTCGTGGGTGTCCATGCGTATGTGCGCCCCGAGATTGGCCGTTCGAGTCGTTAATGATATGCCATCTGCACACAGGAGTCAGCGAGAAACGACATCGACAGTTAGAAAATGTGAAACAGCACATTTCTGGAAGAATAATCAGGTTGACTTTTAACTGCATAGAATGCGAGTTAATACTCCGAGATATGTAGGTTTACTAGTGTCATTTATTAGCATAACAACAACAAAGTATGAGAGAAAAGTTTCTTAATGAAAAGATTGTAGCTAGCGAGGTAAATTGGATACAACTTAGCTACTCTAGCGAGAAGCGCAGTGCTCTCAACTTATTTCACATGTGAAAGGTGAGAGGTTGTCGTCCAGTTTTAACCGACTAATTCCCAGAGCCGGCGGGCTGGGGTCTTTTGAAATGTCCCGGCTCCGGCCGGCTCTATTTGGGGTGCTGTGAGAGCCTGGAGGGGCCTCCACTGTAGGTCACGCCCGTCTAAGGAGTACCCACTTCACACGGTGGAGTGGTCGATAGGACAGGTGCGGCCTTACTTCGACACGGCAGATAGACACGATAGCGGAGCCTTTCTCCGTGAGAATGACATTAAAGAAGAAGAATATAATACGCTATTGTAGTAAGCCGTTCATCGGGATAGCCTATCCTATAGTGAGAATAAGAATGCCCAATCGTGCTGGTGGTCTCTAAGCATAGCACGTCAAATGAGCTGAGTTCTTCTTGAAAATGAAAAATGTGGAAAATGTAGCGTCTGTCCGGTTTGAGTAGCCCTGTTGGTATAGACGGATGTAAATTTAGGTCAATCTAATTGATTACCTTTGTAGCGAGACAGATACGTTCCTATACTATGTATTTCACATGCACTACATTCAGAATTAGGTCTCTCTACTGTGAATATATGTGCCGGATACTATCTATAGCTCTTTCTGGATTGATCAGACGTACCGCACAGTTCTAATTTATGTAGGGGAGAGTGGGGCAAAGCGGCCACCCGGGGCAAAGCGGCCACCCATCGTTTTAGCCCTTCATAGCTGGCGTCAGTTCCAATTTATGGTTTCCAATTATACTTCTCTTCACGGTCGTTCGAATGAGCCAGACCGGGGTTTCAGGCCCATCACCATTGTTCTGTGAAACACGGAAAAGCATTTCTAGCCAGGTTACCAACTATGTTTACAATTTTTAAATGTTATGTTATTCCATAACCGTTTGGAATTTCTATAAGCGTTCTTGTCCATGCATTGCATGGTTATCGTACTTGTATTCTACCAATTTTAATGTTTTTTACCCCACTAATAGCTAAGCTGGAATATTTTTGTCTCGGACGGTATGCGCGGGGCAAAGTGGCCGGGGCAAAGTGGCCACCCCCCAATTGGCCATAAGTTGCTTCCATCTGGATAAAAAACATTATTCATATTCAAATGTGTCGTAATGCATTCATCTTGGCCACTTTTCAGTTGCATGAGTTACCAAATAATGCAATTAAATGTTTATTTTCATGACAATCCTTTCTTTGCTTACCTACATGTGGAAGATGATAAAGTAAACATCCATCCTCGCTTAACCTTGTCACCATCAAATACCCTAGTCGTACACGAGGCAACTATTTTGTTTCTCATATCGGGACTTGAGAAGACGCCGGTGGCCGCTTTGCCCCAGGGTATGGGGCAAAGTGGCCAATATGCATAGGTTTAAAGTTTTGTCAATATCTTTCATATGTGAACGCCTTTGGAAATAAAACGCAGTTGCAATAAAAGGCAACTTAATAGGGATCACATTGGTATAGAAAGAATCTTTCCAAGTTTAAAAAACAAGCGTTGGCATCGTGAGAAGCGTTAGGGTGGCCGCTTTGCCCCACTCTCCCCTAAATGATGCATATAATCATTCGTTGGTGTAGTGTAGTGTTTTATAAGGTCTTGTTGGAAAAAAGGAAAGCCTAAGGATGATTCGTTTGCTGCCAAGCCTCAGCTGCGCCCTGGCCTCCCAGCCACAGCCCGTACCAGTCAACAGCTGGGCCAAACGGGAAGGAAGGGAACATTTATCATTTTCACGACCAGAGTGAAGTTTGTTGACGAAGGAACGAGAAAGAGCGGGGTGATCGCCGACCAAAAAACGGTCTCGAGCTGCGCAGAAAAGGCGGGAATGGAAGGTGCGACCGACCATTATTGAACTGACAGTAGTATCTCTAAAATATAATAAACATGGTTAGATCGTGTTTGACAAACGCTCAATTGTTTTTTTTTATTCCATTAGGCTGGATTTCTATGTCAGCTCCGTTGTGTAGTGACGGGGATGTCATTCTAACCCTGCTGTGATCTTTGCGGAGGAGCATGTGCGTCTGGCAAGCGATTTTTCAACATCATGTTGTCCCTCAGATATGTGTGCCTATGGCGAGCGGCCCGGCGTCTGGAGCAAGCAATTCAGGAGGACGATGCCAGCACAGTGGCCGTCATCATTGCTACGTACGCCGCCAAACTCATGGTGAGTGTTTCGGAGTGGAGTGGATTATTATTGCTTGCCTGTACTAGGTGATTGGTAGCAGTCCCTGCCTTTTTGTCGCCGCTAAAATACTGCTTGCTTGTGTCCAGACCAGCTGTAGTTTATGCAGTTCATAAAGCATTGCCATATTTCTGTCTATTTTTGCGAAATGCTGCAAACCTTTTCGAAAGGTGAGTTTGGTAGGAGCGCCCATGCGCCGGCTAAAATATGATCTTATCCAGAATGTAAAGTAAGAACAGCCGACAGTATGTATAGTCAGTTGCGTTGTTGCTGTGCCAACAGTCTCGCGCCTCCTTCCCGCTGCCATCTGGTGATTGCCAGACGACCATCCCTCCAGCACAGGTGGCTATGACGCCCTGTCATAGATCAAACTATTAATTTCATCGTCATAGTGCCGGATTTATCGGCTCATAAAGCATGCCAATCCGTTGGTCAACTTCACCAATTCACCTTTCTCTGCAGGGGCGCTGGCTTACAATATGTGTCGTGTTGCGTGTAGCATATACTACTGAATCGGTGGTGTAGGCGCTGCTTCATGCTTATTGATGTTGCATATGATTATGCACTCATGCAGCATAGATGCCATATTTTCATACTGTTTTATTAGTTTATTAAACCGTTTGGTATTATTCAAAATTGAATAAATGACGAATGTTTTGGTAACTAATGTCGGAAAATGGATGTCTTTTTATGCACAAACGTGTTTTCGCTACTGCTTGACCTGACCATGCTTCTATGTAGTTTTTTAACCGCCCGGAAGCAGTGACATGGATATGACTGGATGATATATATGAAATAGCGAGCAATGCTCTTTGGGGACGATGGATGCTTCCTACTATTGCGAAAGAATAGCTGATGTGGAATCGTCACAAAGCTGAACAATGAAATGTGGCATTAGTCATAACGTGTTCCAAATCAAGCTCAGTTTAGGCCAGGTTTTGCAAAACAACTAGGATATTCAATCCTTAGACATTGTTCAAACGTGTCACAATGCACGGAGCTTGAGCCAACTTCTGATTTCTTTCATACTTCATATTGAAAGGAAACATCAACTCATTGTTATCTTAAAATCAATATCTCATCGTCGGTGACGGTGAATCATGCTGCCGTTTTCGTTTGCGTCCCGACTCGATTCTCCATCAGAGATTAATCGGAGCTAAGCCGATTATAAAACACGGCAGGTTTAGTGTCTATCAGCGATGTTCTCCGGATCACGGGGGCGGTGAAAACTCGGTGGCTTTCGTAGATGGCCAGCAGAAAAAAGTGGAGCTGTGGCCAATAAGACTGAAAAGAGCGTCCCCGTCGACGGGACGGTGACAGCCGTCGGAACTGTACGATCTCTGGGGATCAAACTGTGGCTGTGATCTCGGCGGCGGCGGTCAGCCGAGCCAAAGTGAGTCGGACAGTGAGTGACCGCTCCGCGTGGGCTATCGCGGCTCATTGGCTGCAGTCTGTGGACAGGTGCGTTATCTTATCTGACGCGCCGCCTCTGTTTACAGGTTCAGCAAACCAAGAACAGGAGCATCGATAGGTGAGTGCGCAGTGCCCCAGCAGCAATGATGAAACAGGATGCTGGAGCTCCTGTTCTCCGTTTGTTAAAAACAAATAAAGAAACGATTTACAGCTAACTCATCACAAGCCCCTGATGATAAAATACTACTCAAACTTGGAAAGATCATCTTTGTCGTTAGTTTGGTCGTTACCACAAACTGACGTACCATTCCTCAGTCATGCATTAAAAAGCGTAATCGAGCGGTATCACGGTGCATGACTTGGGCTTCCTTTCCAATGCTCCTCTGTCTCTAGGTTGCTAATTGAAAATTAATGGCAGGTTTCCCTGATTGTTTTCCATTTACCTAATTGACTTAGCATTCTGCAGCGGTCTGATTGTTCCCGATGCAGTGTTATGTAAACAGTGATCTAGACATTTGCCTTCACTGAAAGAAAAAAATACCACCCTAGTTAGTTTTTGGGTGGTGGTCATATTTTGAACAGCCTTTTACTTATGGTAAACCAGTTTACGATCCAAATACTAGGCCCAATATCAAAGGAATACTATGCAACTACCAATGCTCATCAGTTTACCATGGTCTTAGTATGGTAATATTTTTTCATCATACTACGCTGAAACTAAGGCATAACTAATAAGAAACCAAAGCTCTACTAACGCTAGTATTATCCTGGTACCGCCTACTAAGAAAAATACCACCCTAGTTAGTTTTCGAGTGGTGGTCATATTTTGAACAGCCTCTTACCTATGGTAAACTAACTTACGACCCAAATACTAGGCCTAATATGAATGTAAAACCATGTGAATACCAATGCCAGTAAAAATTACCATGGTATTAACACGGTAACTATATGTCGTCATACCATGCCCAAAAACCCACGTGATACTAGCACGAAACTAGGACTTTACTATCGTTAGCTACTCCCTGGTAATGCTTACTAATGACTTATCATGGTAAAACCATCCTTTTGTCATCTGGATACCAGCTTTGCTTTGCTGGCCAACCATCGTAAAACAATAGTTTACTATGTGATATTTATTGTGATATTACCAGTCGGTTAACAGGATCTTACTAGTCATCAACCAGCATGCTTCATATGCTGTGCTTTAGCCTATCCATGCCAAATTTGTTTATCATTACGACAGCCACTTACTGATGCACAACAGCATGCATGACAGTATCTACCTAGCAGTCGACAAAGCAGCTCTTCACTTTTCCAAAGCATCTACCTAGTAACCTACATGAAATATTTCACACATAAAAAGCATTTGGCCACAAACAAAGTTACGTCTGCACATAACCAAACAACGCGCATGAACAACAATTATTACAGTTCACTTTATCATCACAATGCAATCGGTCTCTTTTCACACAATCGTTGAATGTCGCCCTTCCAGCGATTTATCACGCAACACCTTCTCCAAGGGCATTGGTAGCCATATACCGAAGGTTCGAACTTCGAAAGCCAGCTCTGGAAAAGAGCAGGCATTGATATAAGATAAACCAATGGAAAGATTGATTGTGTGTGCTGCAGTGACACTCTATCTCCTACCCCTCCCACCTTGACTCGCAGTGTCCCGTGACCTAGCTCCCAGTTTGATGAAACAAGGATTTAAGATAAGTTGTTTTAAAAAAATGGCAGCATCTAATAGAACAGGGGATTTGTAGGGTGAGGAATTTAGCAAATTTGGGACATTAGGCCAGAGGCTGGTTCAGGTAAAATGCCCTATAATGAATTAATTGCCATGAGGTGCAGTGTTGAGTGTTGGCAATAATTCAAAAATTCTACTCTTAACCAGCGCCCCACTGGGGTATGTTCTGTAACGCACTCCACTGGGGGAGGCGGGGGCTATTTATAGACCCCCCCCCCCCGCTCCAACTCCGAAACTACTGGGCCGATTGTCAAAACTGAAACGGCGTCTGATAGCCCTGGAAAAACTGTCGAGCAAAACCTAATTTTATTGACCTCGAGATCACCGTTGACGTCACAGGTCAGATCAAAATAAAAATTAGCAACGTTTTGGCTTGTTAACCCTCCCCCGTATAGGGGGGGGGGGGTCGAACGGACTCCCCCTCGGTTTTTCGCGAATACCTCGCGTAAAAAGCGGCCGACCGCAACGAAGCTTTCAGTACCCTCGAGTTATAATCAATTTTACACCTACCCTAAAAAATGTAATGGCCCTGACTAATGACCTTTGACCTGTGACCTACTTTTCGAGACCATGTTTGGCCGGAATCGCGATTCGGCGTATGTCGGCTCGCATTTGCCGCGCGTTTGCAGTCCTTTCGTGGTTTCAAGCGTTCAAACATGGGATATGATGCTGCTCCCATGCATTAGGGTGGATGTCAAGGTCACCAGAAGGTCAGGTCAGTTCATTGACCTTTGATGACCTCGGTTTACTTTTTCGAGTTTTATCAGCATCTTTCTAGGCTAGTTTTTTTAGCTGATTTCGAATTTAACAACCATATATGAACATTTACGAAGTAGTTTTGGTGCCTTCGTAACATGTTACGAAGCTGTCAGAGGCGGTTGCCACCTAGTGCACCTACTACGAATACCCGGCAAAACCCTTACTGGTTGACCTGACCTGACCTGACCCGACCTGGCCTAAATGCATGAAGACATCATCTATGATCATAGCTAACATGATATTCGTGATCAGTTCCCTAAAAAACCCAATAGCAGCCACGTTTTACGACGTTCTAACAGGTCCCAGTTTTCCCCACTTTTGGGTCATTGACCTGACCTGGAAGGTCAACCGATGACCTAGGACCGACGACCTAGGATAAAATTGGGTACCATCGGCTTTCTCTCGTCACGGGCAGCACGCTCGTTTTTTCCGCGAAGCTCTAGCTCAATCAGGGGCGAAACGGCAAGGAGGGGGTTCAACGGACCCCCCCCCTTAAACGTTCGTGGCTGGAAAAACACCAATACGGGCGAGGGTTAACCCCCACCCTACTGTGGGGAGGGCTATTCATAGCCCCTCTCGTGTTTACGCAATATCTTTAAAACCGCTGGACGTATCAAAACAAAGCTTTTAGGACCTTCGGCTGCATCAATTTATTTGACACCTTGTGCACTAATAAAATTTTCGTAGCTACTATAGATCGGCCGGAAATGACGCCAGAGTGACATCATGTTCGGCCGATTTTGATGCAAAGCATTGAACAACGGTAATCGCTCTCAAGATCTGAGTTTTAACCCGGCAAGCGGTGGGCCTCCCGGCTACCTTCCGCGCGGTGGGAGGGGGGGGATTTTTGACCCCCCCCCCGAATCTCCGAAGCTACTATGACGGATCGGTAAAATTTAAATGGCGTTCGATAGCCTTGTTAAATTTGTCGAGGGAACTTCAATTTCATTGACCTCGGGGTCACCGATGACATCACAGGCCAAGTCAAAGATAAAATGTTTCACCGTTCACGGGTCTTTTAAGGAATGCGCTGCAACATCGAGTAAAGGGCATTTTGTCAAAAATCAGCGATAGGGCGTGAGTTGCCTATTATACGAGCATATGTTGCTATTGGAGGTCACTGATAATACCAGGTCCGATCACCAAGGGTCAGCACATGAACCTATCTTTACTAAGTAGGGTTGTGCGATGCATGTTTTATGGCCAATTTTTCATATTCGCCTCAATGGTGTTGGTTATAAGACCATCAGGGACGGTTTTTTTGGTCACTTTCTGGTGGAGGTCAGGTCAATGTCAGGTCAAAAAGGTCAAATTTCAGGTCAAAGTTGATAGTTTCGCATAAAATTGGTATTGATTCGATGCCACTCGTCACGGCGAGTCTAATGGTGGTCTTTGTTTTGCGCTTTGTGGTCTAGAATTGCCAAAATCGAGTTTGAAAATTTGACGTCATTAATTTTGAACAGTTTTTTTTTTGTTATAACTTGGCAAAAAGGAGTTATCGATCTAATACTTGGAATGTGAATAGAAGTCCATAGTGGCTATTACATATATTCCGTTTGTTTCGAAAATCGAAAAACTTTTGGGATTTTTTGGCTATTATATCTATTTCTTTTTATTTTTGGGGTCAACTTCAAAAACAAAATCGAGAGAACAGTATAGTAGCCCTGGTAATTCTACACATTTCATGTCTTGAACATTTTTATGCATAATCAAATTTATAGACCTGACAGCTCTTCCCGCGAAGCTTTTTTTTTGGTCGACAATGGCAGAAATGACGTCACTCCGACGTAGCGGCCAACTTATCATAGCCTTTGGAAAAAAAATTTGGTCACAATGTGCAAAAGGGTACTGAAAGTTTGGTGAAGATCGGCGCAGCGGTTCTGGAGATATATCGAAAAAAAAAACTAAAGATGGATGCAAAAAATGCCCCCCCCCCCACCGCCTTGAGGGTTAAGCTAGATCCTTTTTTTGCATGGGTGGACTCTACAGGGCTACCAAACTGATTTCGGACTTTCGAAATGTTGAATATTTTGAAAATTATAAATATAAAAACTCAGAAATTGTATTTTTTATTTTTTACATATACGTTTCTGAATGAAAAAAAGCAGAATATGACCACGTTTCCATGGGCATCACTGATCCGGATCAGTAAAAATGGATTAGCTAATCCAGTATAGTTAGACAATATATGAAAATGAAAATAAGGGATTAACTGATTATATAAGCCTAATCCACTTGGAATTATATCATGTAACGAAGAGTTCGAGAAATATAATACGATTTAAGTTTGCTGATCCGGATCAGTGATGCCCATGGAAACGGGGTCTATATGTGTTTGAACACATATGCGTTGAATATATGTGAACTTCATCTGACAAACACCTTTTTTGTTGAAAAATGTCAACTTCAAAATTTGACCATTTTTGACCTAAAGTGACCTGACCTGACCTCAGCTATATTCAGCTAAAATGGCCTAAACTGACACATACAACACTGATTTCGATATATATGGCCTACATGAACCATAAAACATGTCTCACGTCACCGATGCACGATATAAAGCTTTCGTGACCTGGGATGAGATGGCCTTGACCTGAAAAATTCGAAGTACAAGTTCGGTACCCTCAGGTTATGTTACGCATATATTCACGAGTGTGCAAACAAAAAATGAGCCTGATCTGATTTGTTGGCCGGCGCCCAGAGTGCCAAGACGCTGATATTTTTACTTTGACCTGACCTGTGACGTCATCGATGACCTCGAGGTCAATGACATTAGGCTTCGCTCAACAATATTTCCAGGGCTACCAGGGGCCGTTTGAATTTTGACAATCGGCCCAGTAGTTTCGGAGTTAGGAGCCCCCCCCCCCCCCCCACTGTAACGTGCTGTAACGTGCTGTGGGGCGCGTTAGAGCACATACCCCAGTGAGGCGTGGGTTAACAAATAAAAAAACACGTTGATTTCCGACGCTGGGAAATGCCCGCAATGATACCCACCCCACCACCCTCCCCCTACCCGGTCCAACAGGGTCTCAAGGAAATTCAACAACATGAACCGAAACAAAGGCTGCGATCTTTGCTGGAAATGGCACTCGTGAGATAAGTATTATTATGCTGAAGATACAACGACTTACTTGTTATTTCCGAGTATCCTCCACCGTCAGCTACGCTAACCACCCACACAATCACCGTTCAAATATTTAAAACCACGGAGCACCTTCACAACGCCGGCGCGCGGCCGGAACTGACATGGCGGCGCCGCTGCAGCAGAGTCAGACGCACGTGGATTGTTAGTAAGGGTGTAGTGTTGTCATGGTGTTGCCATGGTATACCTTACCATAGCAGCAGAAGCACACCCAGGGAACTGTTGCAAGAAATTTCTGGCCTTTCGTCCATAAAACTATTAATTGCTCAGGGTCTCAGCTAGTCCTTGGATGACGCTCCTTCCAACATATCAAAAATTGGCAAACACCTCTATGGAAAGGAGGAGACTTGATCGCCGAATTCACCTGCTGGATCCGCCCGTGGAAAGGTTGATTTTACTATGGTAGGGAATATTAGCTTACGAGGGTATCTACTAGCCTCAGGTGGTTACCACCGGGGAAACAAATTGGTAGAACGCAACGCTTAGTAGCTGCGTGGTATTGCTAACTAATGGTGCATGCACAAGCTGAGTTTTACCATCGCTATCCATTTGGCTGGAGTTTTTATTTTCTTCATTTTAACAGTCGCATGTGGATAGATCTACGACAACAACCGTTCCCAAAATTTTCGGCTAGCTGTCATTTTTTAGTGTATTTTTTGCCAATTTTCAAATCACTAAATTGCGTTAGAATGTAAAATTTTATGCCGAATACCAGCGTGCTTTTTTTCTTTAGTTAGGAAAGCTAGCCTACGGCTTTCGTAGATGGCTTCTTATTGAAACGAGATGCCCCACTCGCCGGCGGCGTCTGGTCTCAGCTGCCCCGTGTTCTGCTGCCCCGCCCCGGTGCTACCGCGGCTACTTCCTCAGTCCTCACCACCTTGAAATTCGCTACCCTTACACCGCTACCAAATAGGTCGCATACGCTGCCTGGCAGTCACCACCCCTGAGTGACAGGCTGTGCCGCAGTACATTCTCTCGTAACCCCTGAGTGACAGGCTGTGCCGCAGTACATTCTCTCGTAACCCCTGAGTGATATGCTGTCCCGCAGTGCACTCTCTCGCCACCCCTGAGTGTCTACTGTGCCGCAGTACACTCTCTCGCCACCCCTGAGTGACATACTGTGCCGCAGTACGCTCTCTCGCCACCCCTGAGTGATATGCTGTCCCGCAGCGCTCCGGAGCGGGACGCCTGCTGGATCCCGTCGGCCCTGCAGCAGCCGCTCCAGCTGGCAGTGGAGGCATGCGCCCACTCAGTGGTCCGCCTGCTGCTGGCCAAGGGGTTCGATCCGAACACGGGACAGCTGAGACCAGACGCCGCCGGCGAGTGGGGCATCTCGTTAGACGGCGAACCGCCGCCGCCGCCGCCGCCCCCGCCCCCGCCCACCGAGCCACCTGAGACGGCCGAGACGCCGCAGCGGCGCCCATCGGAGCCGCGCTCGGAACTAACCCGCTCCGAGTCGTCAGTCCGGTCATCGACACCGGAACGGGAGCCGCACGAGCGGACTGTGGGCGTGCGCTTCAAGTTGTCGGAGCGGCAGTCGCGGTTGGAGTCAGCCGAGAGCACAGTGCTGGCCAAGGAGCCGCACCCGCGCGCGCTGGCCACACTCCAACAGAACAGCTCGTTTCTGAGGGACCTCGTAGTCCGCATCAGCCCGCGGGCGCTGTTCGCCGAGCCTGCTGAGCCAGTTCGCCGGGCCGCTGACGATCTACCGCGGCCGGTGCGTCCTCCGCTGCGCGTCAACAAGAGCCTGGCAGCGCCGCTAACGACGCTGCGCTCGCGGGACGGCGAGCAGGGGACGTTCAGCGCCGTGTACGGCTCTCCGGCCTACCTGCGCCGCCTGCCGCCGCTGTTTTCAGCCGTGGTCGCCGAGGATGCCGAGTCGGTGGCCGAGCTGGTCGGATACGGCGCCGATGTGAACGTGACGGATGAGTTCGGCAACACACCGCTGCATGTGTGCGTGTGTCGCGCCGCGCCCGACGAGGACTGCCTGCACGAGCTGGTCGAGATGGGCGCCACTGTGTACCGGGCCAACAACAGCGGCGTGTGTGCCGCCCAGCTGTACCCGCCGCTAGCCGGCCTGCAGGCGCACGTGGTCGAGTGTCTGGTCGGGGCGCTGGCGCTGCAGGCGGCCCGACTGGCGGACGAGGCGAGCCGAGAGCCGCGCGCCGCTGCACAGCTCGGTCTCATCCGGCGGCTGCACTGCCGCGGCATCTCACGGCTCTTCGCCAGGGAGAAGGGCAGGGAGGAACCGGCGAGCAGCGGCGCCGCCAGCCGCTCCTCGGCCGAGACCAGCCCGCGATCGGCGCGAGGCTCCGTGCGCAGCCGCAGCGGCAGTGTTCGCCGAGACAGGGAGCACAGGGAGCACCGGGAGCACCGAGATGACGCCGACAACAATGCCAAGGTCAGTCACGCATGGGCGTGGGTCGTACGTGGGGTATATGGAGTCCGGTCCCTGTGAAGTCCATACATATATCCCAAGACTTTGTTATAATATTTTTTGCCGAGTTCTCGGAGGCTACTTGCAACAGCTCGGAGTTTTATAAAACAACGGCGCACTTGGTCTAAGGATTTTAGCATGATTATCAGCATACGCCAACTGATGACAACGTGTGTCACAGGTCTTTTAAGGTTTAGGTACGCTAGCGTATAGCTTGCTGGAATTACCAATGAAATATTAAGTTATCAGATTTGCCTATTCCTGTTGTATTCAAAGGAACATGTTTATGCGTAATATCAGTTCTTGATACACTACCAGATTACCAAAAAGGAAATTGCGACAAACGTATTTGGTCGGATTTTCCGGCTGGAGCGCATTCAGATTCATTTTAGAATGCCAGGCGTTGCGTGCTACACTTCGACACCGCGTTTAAAATAGATATGTGTGTAATATGTAGTTATATCGACAATTCGATAGGCGGAGTCGTGCTGGAACAGAGACTGGTGCTTGAGCTCCCCGTTTTGACACTGGTATATCGGACAATTTGGGCTTACATAATACACGTGCTATATTTAGTGGCAAAGTGCGTGTTGGCTGACGCAATCAGCGGGTCATTTTGGTTTAGATTGATTTGGGAAGTCACACACTTTTCATTACTGAAGATACACATCTTATTATCAATGCAAAGACAGGTGTCTGATGCTCAAACTTTTCTTAAAAACAAAAACATTGAAATAAAGATATGAGCCGACAGGAGTATGATGTGGGAAGTACTTCTTTTACAATGTATCGGCTGGAGTATGCTTACATTTTAACCCGCGCCCTGGTGGGGGGGGCTATTTTTTGCCCCCCCTCCAGACTTTTCGATATATCTCCAGAACCGCTGCGCCGATCGCCACCAAACTTTCAGTACCCTCTCGGACATCAATTTTACACATCGTGACCAAAAATGTTTCCAAAGGCTATGATAGGTTGGCTGGAAATGACGTCAGAGTGACGTCATGTTCTGCCGTTTTCGACCAAAAAAAGGGTTTCGCGGGAAGAGCTGTCAGGCCTATAGCTTTGCAAATACAGAAAAACGATAAAGACATAAAAGATGTCAAATTGACAGGGCTACAAAACTGCTATCTCGGATTTTTGAAATTTTTGGATTTTGACCCCCAAAAATAAAAAAATAGATTTTTTGAATATAATAACCGAAAAATCCAAAAAGTTTTTGGAGTTTCGCAAAAACCGGAATATATATGATAGTCCTTACCGCCTTCTATCCACATACCAAATTTGAGATTGATACCTTATTTTTTGGCGAAGTTATAGCGAAAAACTGTTCAAAATTGATGACGTCAAATTTTCAAACTCAATTTTTAGCAATTCTAGACCCCGTAGCGCAAAACAAAGACCACCATTAGACTCTCCGTGACGAGCTGCATCGAATCAATACCCATTTTATGCAAAACTATCAACTTTAAAATTTGACCTTTCTTGACCTGACCTTGACCTGACCTTCACCAGAAAGTGACCTAAGCCGTACCTGATAGTCTTATAACCAACACCATTGAGTTGGAAATGAAAAATTGGCCATAAAACATGCATCGCACAACCTTAGTACCTAATGTTAGGTTCATGTGACCTGACCTCTGGGCTCTGACCCTTGGTGACCTGACCTGTGACCTGACCTGGTATTGTCAGTGACCTCTTATAGCAACATATGTACTAAGCAACTGACGCCCTATCGCTGATTCTCGACAAAATGCGTTTTCTTCGGTGTTATAGCGCATTCCCTAGATGACCCGTGAACGGTGAAACATGTCATCTTTGACCTGACCTGTGACGTCACCGGTGACCCCGAGGTCAATGAAATTTGGTTTCCTTCGACAAATTTGACAGGCCTTTCGAACGCCGTTTGAATTTTGAGGTTCCGTCAAGTAGTTTCGGAGATACGAGGGGGTAAAAAAAATAGCCCCCCCCCCCACCAGGTCGCGTTATAAACAGACCCCACCAGGGCGCGGGTTAAACTTCTACTAAAAGCTCCTGTCAAGGTTCATAATGTTCCATAATGTATGCAACAGGTTAAATTGCGAACCTTGCATTTATGTGGCTATCCATGATATCGATGTCAGGATGTGAGCCGCTGTGTTATAAGGGGCACAGGAGTAGGCCAGTTGTCTCCAAGTAAGTAAGCTAGGATTTATCCCACTACATGAATCCGCTAGAGGTATACCCACTACCGACTGTTTGCTTGAGACGGTAAAAATACTGTCTATCAGACATGTGCATGGATCCGAGTGATGGAGCTATGATCCCAGTGGATCTCGAAGCAAAGTACAGGTTGGGATCTATGATCTCACCGGATCCGGCGTGAAAAATATATCTTGGATCTATGATCTCATATGATCTGACGATAAATTGCGAACATGGATCTATGATCTGAGTGGATCCCACCATGCACCACATTTGAAACCATTTCTTTATGCCAATAAGTGACACAAAACTATGGATTATGACGTGCGATCACATAAAATCACTAAAACAGAACGTTTGTGAGTTGAAACAAGTGCTTTTTTGGGATATATGTGTTGACAAAAAATAAGTGAGGATCTATAATCTCACTGGATCTCAAGCAAAAAATGAGACTCGGATCTGTGATCCCTACGGATCTCTCGATAAATTACAGAGCTGGATCTATGATCCTGTCGGATCCGAGATCAGGATCCGTGGGACCAGATCCCAGATCCATTTTCTCGGATCCATGCACATGTCTGCTGTCTATCGCACTCAGACACAGACCTCAGAATCACCTATGTATTTATCGGGGTGATTTGCAGAACACACTCGATATCGATTGGCTCGAACGTACCGCTCATTTTAGCTCGGTGACCTTAGTGCTGTTTTATTATGCATGTTGCTGCAGGCACGTTAATTGTGTTGACATATCTGCAGTTTGATAATCCCTTTGGTGTCGCATTTTTGGAACATTGCATGTCGTCGGACTGCAATAGTTCGATGATCTATCAAAAATTAATGTATCCCGGACGGTAAATAGTTCGAACGGAAATAGTAAAACGCATCGAGGCACTATTTCTGTACGACTGCTCCCCACGGCGCATAAAACGCATCTGAAGTCGTGGGATCTATTTTGGCAGCCTCCTAAATTCATTCAATGAGCCTCCTCAACCGTAAGTACTTCAAAACGCATTTAAGCTGTCTGCTTTTTCTTTGCTCATCACACCACAAAAATCATCTAGGTCGTGATGCTAGGTCGGCATATCAAACCCAATAAACTGCATAAATTGGTTTGTAAGTACTTTCTTAGATCCGCCAGTGCATTGGCCGATCAACGGATTGTCGCACGGATGGAGTACCATTAAAGCGACCGAGCCTCCTCCACCCCCGCTGGCTAGCCTGTGAAGCCGGCTGCTCCGCTCTCGAGCTCCCAAAATAGGCGCCCTCCTATCAGAATGTGATTACCCGCGGGTCCGGAGTGTAAACCGGGCCACGGCCGGTGCAGTTTTAGTCCGACGGGACGCCGATATAGAGCTGTGGCGTGTTCTCGGCGAGCACCCCCTGACGCCGCGGAGAATGGGAGCTGTTCCGCCGCCTCTGCCCATTGCGACGAGGACGCGGGGCTCGGACCGGGCTCGGCGAGCTGATTTGGGGAGCTCAGACTGCAGATTGACGTCAGAGCAGCGTCACGAGCTCGTCGGGAGCAGGGGATGGCTGGAGCTCGCTCCGAGTTGACACGGTGCCTATATACGTACCACTCTGGCAGTGTCTAGCCGGGGTCCGCCATGACTCTTCGGTCGCTTTTCCGGAGGGAATCCATAATTAATTCGGTGACTCAGGCTAATATTTTCGCACAATATATAATTAACCGACAGGGAGAACAGGGAGAAAAAAGGGCAAGTAAGTCAAGCTCAATGGCCCGCTGCATTGGCGACGCAAACGTTTCGTTAGCCGCGATGCTCCCAAATGGTAAAAGTTTCCACTCCTGGGTGTCGTTATTCGTTTGCCGTCTCGGAGCCAGAGGCGGGTTCGGTGAGGCGCTCTCGCGGTACTATCCATTTGTGTTGGTATCATTCTAGAGGAAATGTTTCAACTTGGTCTCCCTGTGGAGTCTAATCTAGATTTATCGTCCGTCCGGCGCGAAAAATATATCACCCGGTGCGTCCTGCGTCCCCATTCATGCAGTCAATTGCCGAGAGCTGACCCATTTGAAGCGTCCCCATCTCAATAGAATTTGCCACATTGCACTCGAATAAAGAAAAAGAGAAGGCGGGAACCATTTATGGAGTGGTGAGGCATTCTGCGCAAGTCATGGAATGTCTGGATTTGAATAATAAATGCCCAGAAATGTCTGTCTGGTAGTTTCGGCAGCTTAGTAGTCCTCCAGCATCAAACTCAGTACACACAAGATACAAATGCTTCTTGATTGTTATTCCTTTGATCTTTGAGTAGCATAAGGATGTAATCATACGTGCTAGGATGAATTAGCATCAAAGTAGGTGTATTGGACTTTGTTCTTTTCCTCGCCCTCTCACATGCATCATCGGACAGCCATGTCCTTTGTAGTCAACTCTGCAAAAGAAGGAAGTTTTGTTATCAAACCGTTAAAAATGCTGATTGAAGATAATGTTTCACATTCAATAGTTATCAAATGGGTTCTTACTAATTTAAGTTTTGTTAGGCAATGCAGTTATGATGTTTTACGACTGCACCAGTAATCACTTGGTTCGTTTGCCGTTGATTCCCGTGATAACCAACCCAGGTGGATATGTCCTAAATACATAATAACTTAACACAAGTGCAATTAGCGGAAAGCTTGAAGGTGTCTTAATTGCATAAGTACATATATCAGATCGATGCTGGCCTCGGGTTTGAATTGCCCATCTGGCCTACAGCGGCGAGTAATGAGCCAGTTTCGGCTCACCGGGAGATCAAGGTATCATAACTGGCAGTCAGTGAAA